CGGGGGTGCGTGCGTGTGTGTGTGCGCGGGGGGGTCTCGTCTTCCCCATGGCCGGCACCGGGCAACGGGTTTGTCAGCCGGCGCTGAGCCATTATTCCCCCATCCTCGAAACGATTTCTCCAGTCCAGCCAAACGGCGTGTTCTTCATGTGCCCGTTACACCCACGTCTGGTCAGGGTTGCCGATTTTTTGAGCCAGGTAGGAGGTTTTAAGTGGCAGGTGTGAGAAAAGGCAGAAAAAATTGACGCGTGGCACAGTAGTTTTTCTTGGGCTCTTCGTGGGTGAGGTAGGATTACTGATATTACCACAATGTGTTACCATCAGCTGTGACAGTACTATTTTCAGTTGGTAGCACGGCTGATTATTTGCACTCCACCCGGGTCTGATTTAAAACAACGTATATGTGACTTTACACAGCTTGAACTTGAAACTGACATTTGCAATGTTGGTATCAAGCTTGTGAATACTGCAAGTCTTTAAATAGGAGATATTAACTGAATGTCAGAAAAGTAAATCTCTGCTTATTGCAAAGGTGGTAGTTTTTTCGAGTGGGAAAAAAAGCTTGAAAGATTTAAAAAAAAAATCAGAAAGTTTAGCATTTGTTATGTTTCAGTAGCACTGCAATTGTGACTTCTATCTTGAACAGTACAGCTTCTGATTCACTTAAGTTAATCTGAGAAGTCTGATCTGCAGGCAGAGACTATTTCTTAGATTGGTTTTTTCTGTCTCCATGTAGTAAGACTACACAGAGGTTATTAAAGATGACCATGCCAAGACCAAGTTCTGGTCTGTCAGTTGTGCAATTAAATATGAGAAATGTTGTGACCGGAGATTAAGGATGTTTTGTAGCCATTACAATTCAACTTAGAAGTGGAAAGGATGATGAAACCCTTGTAAAAGAAATTGGCTTAAACACAGCTAAGCCGTTTTCTTCCTTTCTATTCTGGACTTCATATTAACAACAGACTTCATGCATGTGCTGTGAAGCGTTCTTGGCCATGGAGTTCTACGGGGACAGCTTATTAGTCCATAGCCTAGGTCCCTTTCATGTTTTACTTCAGGTCCTTTGCTTTCCTTATCTTGTCACTTTTCTAAATTTATTTCTCCGTGCAAAACCAAAGAAAAACATTTGCATTTTGGTTTAGATGGATGGATAATATCTGTGTGTTAGGTAAGCACTTTGGGGGTATTGTATTATAAAGGTAATTTCACAGAGTCAATTCTTGATGTTTTTAGCCTGGGCTGATCCTGACGTTCTGGTTCAAAGTATTGCTTATGGTGTTAGGGTTTTGGTTCATTCCAGAATCTTCTAGATGTTTTTTGTTTTTTTTTCCTCCCTAATAGTATTTGCATGCTTCTAAAAAGTAAGAGTTGGTTACAGAGCTCCCTAACTAGTATTTCTATTCCTAGAGTCAGCTGTTACGTGGTTCAAATTGTACCCAGCTGACTTTCAATGGAGAACTGAAATCCTTTGGCCTTCAGGCTGCTTCTAGACCGTATATCATTGTGATGGTCCCAGAAGTTTAATCTGCTGTTTACAATTAAAAACAGCAATGTTGTTTCCTGGGCAAAACTGTGCAGAGAGTTATCATGATGTGCCATTCACTGGAACTTGTAGTTGTGTCCATCCAGACCTCAAAGCCATTTCTCAAAAGGTGGGAGTAGTAAATAGTATGTAGCAGTCAGGAAATTCACTAGACTAAAAGGCTTTGCCTTCAGAGACACTTCTTTCCTGTGATGGTTGACTTGGATCTTAGTCTTGAACCACAGGTTGTGAAAGTAGGACTGGTGTTTGTTTTGACTTTACCTGTTGAGCTTCTGTTCTTTTGTAGTAAAAGAAGCTTCTCTTTCTTAGCAGCAGCAAAGAGAGGAGTGTTTAAAATTAACCTTTTAGACATTGTAAAATAGATACATATTCTGAAGAAGTAATTCAAAGGCATCTAGGTTTTGCTTGGGTGAAAGCTTAGTAATCAGGTTGGAGAAAACACATAATTTCTGATCAGTGCTGATCAGGATGAGGTATCTGTTTTTAAGGTTACAGCACTTCGAACAGGAACTTTGCACTGAAAAATACTTCTCCTTACAGGCAGTTCCAAGGCTGCGTCTTTGCACTGGACAGGCGAGAGAGCTGTCAGTGTCCTCTTGCTGGGTCTCCTTCCTGCAGCCTACCTGTATCCTGGACCAGCCATGGACTATTCACTGGCTGCAGCCCTCACTCTCCATGGCCACTGGTAAGCACAGTAGGTCCCTCAGAATTAAGAGTAAAGGCTGGTAGTCAGGATGGCTCCAAGCCTTAGGTCTTAAATCTGTTTACAGCAGTAAGTCTACTGACTTATTTCCTGATCTAGTATAAAACACCTGGAAAGAGATGCAAACAAAGTCCTTACTGTCCAAATTCTGTGACAGTCGTGATCTTTGACAAGACTAGTTGTACCTTGGTCTTCCTTTGTCACACTGTTCTCTCAGTCAGAAGGCAGGATATATATTACTATTAAGGAATCCATAAACATTCTGTAGTGTTCTTCTACACAGTATCTTACCTTAGGAGGACTTCCTTGCCACTGGCTGTGTAGAATCTTGGACGTTTTTATCTTGTAGAAGAATCAATGTTGTATGAACAGAGGGAACAGAAACAGGACAGATCTCTATAAAACAAGTTGTTCTTCTAAGGTTCTGTGCTGTGGGCTGGCTCAATGGTGATGAGATTCTGCATAATAAAGAGTTCATAGCAAATATTCCACTAAAGAAGCTGAGACCTTGATCATTATTTTCTTGATTCCTGGGAAATGGATGCTTGCTCATGTTATTGTTCTTAGGTGTACTTCTGCTGTGATCTTTAATGTGAGTAGGCTAGACGAGTCTAGTTAGGAGTGGATCCAGCTGCATGGTTGGCCTAACTGGCAGCATTTACATTCTTGAGGTGATACTCGTCTGTAGTTCCTTGTCACAGGGATAAAGCAGACAAGCAACTTCATGGTACTTTGGGATGCCAGATTTTCTTAAATCTCAGTTTTGCCTTTACAAAGTCGTACCAGGGATTCTTGCACTTTCCTCACTGTGATTGGGAGCTTCTTGCTGAAGTGCTCAAATCTAGTACAGAAATGTGGCTATCCTTGAACATATTTGGCAGAGCTCTTTCAAATATAAAATATATAACGCTAAGCTTGCCTGCCTTTGGAGCATTTCCTCACTTGTTTGGTGTGTGCGTATTGGTGCCATACTGGATGTGACCATGTGGGGAAACTCCAGGCAATGGAACAGGTTGTTGCAGGTTGATGTGTTGAAATGGGTTCTCTGGACGACATTTTGTGTCAATGCACACACATTTGATTCTTTAGTGAATGTCTCTTGTTGACAAAGGTATTAGGATTGTTCATACTAGAAACCTCTTTTCCATAAATGGTGTGGAGACTTCCCCTGTGAGAAAAATGCCTTGCTGCTTGTGTGCAGCTGTGCTGGTAACTTTCATCAGAGTGAATTCCTCCCCCACTTGTTTGGGTTTTTTGTTCTCTTTTTAAGCTGGAAAGTTTCTCCAGTATTAAACTCTTATCTTGCAAAACACTGTGTTAAAAACCTAAAGGTGTTCCTACATAGGAAAATTCTCCTGTACTTTCATAGGTATTCAGTGCTAGAATATCTTTAAAAGAAAAAAGATCGTTTGCTTGCCATAAACGTTAATTTGATTGCCGTAACAGGTCAGATAATCCCTCTAGTAGCTGGTCAGAAACTGCAGAGGAGTATTGCATATATTTTTGAGGGGTTTTCTTTCACCTTTTGCTATGTTTTTCCTTGGGAAATCTTGTTCTAAAATATGTTGGAAATAGTGCTCAGATATTTAGGTGGTTATCAGTCCAAACACTAACCTATCAATAGACTTACTCAAGATACCTGAAGCCATGTTTATCTTGTACTGTTTTTGCTGGCATGTAATAAAGATTTCTCTGCCCAGTGAAGCCGCTGTGTTGTGAGCTAGGTTATGTGTCTACCACACATCAGCTATTTTTCACTAATTCCCTTCCTTGTTCTCAGGGCCACTGGTCTTTTCCCATGAGGACTTTGTGTGAATTAATTAGTGTGCTGTAAAGTCACACACCAGTTTTTCTGAGAAGTCTTCGCATCGCTTAGTCTTATTGTGCCATGCAAATAAAAGATCTTATGAAAATCCCTTATCAATACTACAGTTGAAGGACAGCCTGTGAATACCGAGTTGAGTATGCCTTATTTATCTACACTTTGGAAGGCTCAAAGTGTGGGTAAGTGCTGCTTGCACTCCTGACCTGATTCCACTGTCCAGTTGTAAAAAATAGTTTGAGAGTAGTTGCCTTTCAGACTGCTTCCACTTTCTGCTTCTCTTCTGTGTACCCGGGGGTTCCTTGCACCCCTTTTCTCGCTTTTGACATCTTTATGGTATTAGAACCCCATCTAAGTGAAACTGAGCTCAGTGTTCACTTGCAGTGGCATCTGCTGCAGGACTTTGAACCTTGCTAGGTCACTAGTGTGTCTTAATTTGTGGGACACAGGTCCTTTAGCTTCAGGCTAGACCAAGGGAGAATCCTAGGAAGAAAACTGTTGCATTAAATACGGTTCTCTTTTTTTACCAAGTTGACATCTGTCATTGCAGAAAGCAAATATAATTGTACTTTCGGGAAGAGAACTAACACATTAGTTTAATAGCATCTTCTGTCTTCCTGTTGCTGTATAGTTGAAATCTGGACAAGAGTTCACTTTCAGTCTGACAGATGTAGAAAAAAACCAGAGTATGCTAATTTTTTGGTTGTCACTATTTTCTAATCTAAATACACATCCTGGAGTCTTCTGTGCCTTTGTGACAATGGCTGGTCCCAGAGCCACACCTTGCTGTTCAAGCAAGAAGGATATTTCCTTTGTTACTTTTCTTCAGTCCTTGGAAGTCAGATAAGCTGCCAACTGTTTCTTCGAGGCAGATTCTACAGATTCTATTGTTTGAAAGAGTTGTGCTCAACACCTTGTTTCCTCAGTACCATAGAGAAAACTCTCAGCCAATATGTATGGTTTTTTAATAGAATATGTGGAATGTTTTGTTTTGTTTGTTTGTTTGTTTTAAATAGATGCATCTTCTTTTTGAGTGGGAACTGGGCATTCTTTAGGAAAGGTTGATGATAGCGGATGAAAAAAATTATGTGTTTGAGCCATCTTAGTAGAATGCTCACATAAACTGGGTGGATTTCAGTGAGGAATGTTCTTTCCTGATTTCAGCTTTTTTTTCCCCTCTTATTCTGTAGGGGTCTTGGGCAGGTTATAACTGACTACGTCCATGGAGATATACCCATTAAACTGGCCAATACAGGTCTGTATGTACTATCGGCCGTTACCTTCGCTGGCCTCTGCTACTTCAACTATTATGATGTTGGTATCTGCAAGGCTGTTGCCATGCTGTGGAGCCTCTAAGATGCAACTGAGCCCCTGACAAACACAATTGTTCACTGCTGCCTCTGCTTCATCATATTTTTACCAACATGTTTAATGCGAAACAAATGGATAACCAAAGGTCCATAGTATGTACATACTGCAGCGAGTTCAAAGCTAGTCTTTTAAAAATAAATATCCAACAGCAGTAAAAATGTTAGAAAAGTAAATTTAAAGTGGATAGTGTCCAGGTGAGAGTGAGTTGATTTAAGCTGCACTGTGAATTGGGAGGAATTAATTACATCAGTGACAAACTTATATAGCTGAAGGTAACTTCCCTCGTAATGGCAGCTCTAATGAGTGTTTTTCTAAAATAACTGTTGTTTGATTTCCCATTTTGCACAACAAACTTGACTTGTGGGAAATTGAACTGTTATTTCTGACATCACAACAACTGAACTGTATGTAAGGCACACCCTGTAACTCTTTGGACCCTGAGAGTTGATGTAGAAAAAGGAATACTTTTTTCTTAATCCATACAATAAAGAATTTACAGAAACTGTGTGTGTGTGCTTCTGAACAATTTTTACTATTTTTGGGTTACTTAAAATGTTTTCTCTGCAGATAGGTTTTTTCCCTCCCCCTAAAATCAAGTTCAAATACTAATTCATACTGTTATGTTACTGTTCATACTGTTACTCTGCATTACTTCATTTAGATGTTATAAAACAAAAGATATTTTTATGAATAGGTATTGTCCTTAATACTTAAAGAGGTGGCTTAGGCTTGACTTATACAAGAGTAATGTCCATTAGAAAATACAGCAATAATTGACTTAGAAGAAAAAGACTTCTGCAGATTAATTTTAAGAGCCATAAATAGCATATGACCTTCATAGTTTCCCTGGAACCTGTATGTTCATCTGCAACATTTTTGGGGGGTTGTTTTCTAAACAAACACTGGTACACATTTTCCTGTGTGACTGAAAAGACAACAAACATACCCTTTCTGTCATAGCTTGACATGAGACTGAGGCAGTGTTCTTTTCTATGTCTTCAGGTTTTAGAGTATTTTAGGGGGGAAATGAGATTCTGGTTTTTAACTTTCTTCTCTCCTTTATCTTTTCTGACTCTCATAGTAGTAAGGAGTGGTTAACTGTTTCCACATACTAATGGTACTTCTGTGGTACTATTAATAGTAAGAGGAAAAGAATTGTGTGTTACCATCAGTCTGATTATGCAATAAACAGAATGAATAAGTTGCTCTTTGAATTCTACAAGACATTCTGATTTGATTTCATTTTTTTTAAACCTGGATTGGAATTTTTATTTATTTATTTATTCATGTAACCATGGGAAGTGCCATGTAGCTGGCCACTTTTGGTTTTCGCATCTTGTGATCAGAATTGACATGGTTGCTTCTGTCTGATGTGGTCTGATTTAGATATCAATGTAACATTCGTTCTTTTGCAATAGTGAGGAAGATGCATATGTATGAGTCAGTGGTAAGTACCTCTCTACAATCTCAGCACGTATCATAGAAAGCGTTTGACGTTTCCTCTTTTGAGACCAAACAGAAGATGGATCACAGAATCACTGAATAATTTGGGTTGGAAGGGACCTTTCA